GATGAAGGCCAGAGTTGGAATTGGGAAAATGAATCTCAGAAAAGGGAGAAATCTACTCATACAAAAGTTGATTCTGATCTGGAATTTGAGATGTCAGCAGGAAGTGACAATGATGAAGAAGTGAGGTATGATTCAAATATAAACAATGGAAGACCAACACGAAACAGGACACATTCAGTAAGGTTGAATGATTATCAAATGACCAGAGATGACGAAGTTAATAATGATGGAGATCTAGTGCACTTTGCCCTATTTGTGGATACTGAACCTTTGACTGTAGAGGAAGCACTGGAGGATGACAGGTGGAAGAAAGCAATGGAAGAAGAACTTCATTCTATTTACAAGAATGACAGTTGGGAGCTGTGTAATTTACCAGTGAACAAAAAACCTATAACTGTGAAATGGATATTCAAAACAAAGTTGAGACCAGATGGGACTGTTTCTAAGCATAAAGCCAGATTAGTGGCAAAAGGTTTTTTGCAAAAGAAGGGAATTGACTATGAGGAAGTCTATGCTCCTGTTGCAAGGCTTGAAACAATTAGAACTGTGGTAGCCTATGCATGCTTGAATAACTGGTCACTACAACAAATGGATGTGAAGTCTGCGTTTTTGAATGGACCTTTGGAAGAAGAGGTGTATGTTACACAGCCTCCTGGGTTTGAAATAAAAGGGAATGAAGAAAAGGTCTTCAGGCTAAAGAAGGCATTATATGGTTTAAAGCAGGCACCCCGAGCCTGGAATAAGAGAATTGACAAATTTCTGGTGCAACAAGGATTCTCAAAGTGCAAAGTTGAATATGGTGTTTATTCAAAGAAGTTTGATGAAGATGTACTTATCATTTGCCTCTATGTGGATGATCTCCTAATCACCAGCAGTAGCAGTAAGATCATCTCAGTTTTCAAAGAAGAAATGAAAATAGAATTTGAAATGAGTGACTTAGGAGATCTTTCCTATTTCCTTGGTATAGAGTTTTCATATACTGATAATGGAGTCATACTTCATCAAAGGAAGTATGCTGAGGATGTGTTGAGAAGATTCAAGATGGAGAAATGCAATGCTGTGATTACACCCGCTGAAACAAATTTGAAGATTGGAAAAAATGAAAGTGAGAAGAGGGTTGATGCTACTCTATACAAACAAATAATTGGTTGTTTGAGATTCCTATGCTATAGCAGACCTGATATATGCTATAGTGTAGGGTTTTTGAGCAGATTTATGGATAGTCCAAGAATATCCCATTTTACTGCAGTAAAAAGAGTTCTGCGATATGTGAGGGGAACTGCAGACTTTGGTATTTTGTTGCCTAACAGAAATCAGTTGAAAGGAGAATTGCTTGTTGGATATTCTGATTCGGACTGGAATGGAGATATTGACAAAAGAAGGAGTACTTATGGATATGTATTTACAGTTGGGCATGCACCAGTGTCTTGGTGTTCCAAAAGACACAATTCAGTTTGTCTTTCAACCTGTGAAGCAGAATACATCGCTGCTTGTTATGCAACTTGTCAAGCATTGTGGCTCAGATCACTGTTAAGTGAGATTAAGATCAGGGGACGGTTACCAGTAGACCTAATGATTGATAACAAGTCTGCCATAAGTCTTGCTAAGAATCCTGTTGCACATGGGAGGAGTAAGCATATTGATACAAGATTTCATTTCCTAAGAGAGAAAGTAAATAAAGGGAAGATAAAGGTTTGGCATTGCAGAACTGAGGAGCAGAATGCAGACATATTGACAAAACCTCTATCAATTCAGAGATTCACGGAGCTAAGGAAAAGACTGAACATGTTCTCTGTTGCTGAAGTTAAGGGAGCATAGATATTATTTGTGAATTGCAGAATTAAGGGAGCATGTTGTAAATAATAATTCTGCAATTAAATGGGTTAGGCCCATTAAGCTTGAATTAGTTTTAGCCTTTTATGTCTGCATACGGTTTCCATATATACTACCAGTCTGGTAGTTAGTTGTAACTATCCTCTTCAATAATAAGCTCCTCTCTTTCTTTCATGATATACAGTTTCATTCTCTTTCAACTCCAAGATATAGAGCATGCCTAAATCTTTAATTTTAAATTTGCTGAAATTATTGAAATTATGGTTTAAACAGTTGGAATGTGATTAGTTGAAATGTGATGAATTATAAAAATATTGTATTTCAATTATGTTTTATTTAAAATGAAATAAAATTTATATTAAAAAGTAGTTAAAACAGTCATCTTCGTCAATTTCAGTTAGTTAAAAACTTCAACTTTACTTATTTTAATTAATACACAATTTAACGTACGAAATTGTTATATATTTTATTTAAGTTAGAGGATGTTGTTTTGGAATACATCGTTATTTAATTTATACTCCATATGGTTATTATTTTGGAGTATATATACTTATTAGTTTGGAGAATATATTTATCTAATTTGATCTAATCCATATGTATTTCTATATGGTTCACTTGTTCAACCATATCATTTTTTATCCATTTCCAGTAATTTTAGTCTGTTAGTTGTATATGATGTCACTCATAGATGAAATTATTTAGTATGGTGGTCACGTTCTCTCCATTCCAGAAGAAGATTGATTATCTTAATCTCAGCGTTTAGTTGCCATAATACCTTAGTTCTGTTTTATTAGTCAGATCAGAGATGCTGCCCACTTCCGAATGTTTGCATTCTAAAATTTTCCAAATCACGACATTTGTCTCACTGTACACTTATACATACCCCTACAAAATTTTAGAAGACTTTCTTCTTCAGGGTCGTACACGAACCCAATCGAGTCGAATAATGAGATTTTGTATTTGTATTTGTTTAATTTTTTCGAATACGAATTCGAATTCAAATATGAAACGAATATTAATTTTGATTTGTATTTATATTTATTTAACAATACGAATAGTTAACGAATCATATACGAATATCGAATCGATTTGAGCATAAGTTAAATTTTAGTCAAATATCACTCTAAAATAACTTTTTTATATTCCATATTTTTATGTTGTCAATGCATGCTATGACTTAATATGTGTTTTTTGAATTTAAATTTAATGGATCAATGCATTTTTAGATGGTACACAATATACTAAAGTGAATTAATTTTATGATTAATATATATAAATCTAAACTTTTTTAAATAAACACTAACACACATATTAGAAATTATACTTATAAACTTTTTTTGTCCGTGAATGACTTTCACAAAAAAAGTCTTCTAACAAACAACAAATATAAAAGTGAATTAAATGAAATTTTCTGTAACTTGTCTCCCTATACAACTTCATCCCAAGGCTTGTCTATTTGTTAATTTTAGAAATGATTACATATTTATAACTAAATTAAAAGTTATTTATAAAATGTGTCCTAATTGTGAAAGTTGGAGTAGCTTTAGTTATAATAAGATTAGTTCAAATTTTTAACGTAAATAACTATGAAGTATGTAGTAGTTTTTAGTTATATTTTTGTAAAATATCCGCAACAACAACATTAAAGCCTTAAAATATTCAAGTAAGTTATATTTTTATAAATGAATCATATTTTATATAATTTTTTTTATGATTAAATTAAATTTTTATGATAATACTATCGTATTAATTATCAAATCATACGGAGAGTCCACATATTAATAAAGTAAGTTAATATTCTTACTTTATTAATTCAATATCAATTATATAAACTCATTTTCTTACTAACTGTATCACGTACTCGTATCCTAAGTTTAGTGGGACATATGTAGTAGTGTAGTACTACATCCGTCCTCCTGAGATTGAGACAAAAGGAAGTAACACAACTATTAAGAAAAGAGAAATTATGTATGTGATTAATATTATGTTTAAATTAGTAAAAACTGAATAAATTAAAAGCAAGTTATATCATTCATATATTACCAAAAATGATATGAAGTAAATAATATGAGTAAAATATTTTTGAATGAAGGGTGTTAAAGTATAAACTAAAATGATATTGAACATGGAGAGAATGATTTTTTGTGTATTTCATTGAAGGGTTAAGGCCCTATAAATATAGATTACAAAGATAGAATATTCATATATAAGATGATATACAATAATAATATCTAGGGTATATTTCTAATAAATTCTAAAGCATATTCTAATATACTTTCACACCCCCTCAAGTTGGAGCATATATATTTATCATGCCCAACTTGTTACATAAATAACCAACTCGAATTCCATTTAGTACTTTAGTGAACAAATCTCGAAGTTGTTTTGCGGTCTTCACATATTCAGTAGAGATCAATCCTTTTTGTATTTCTCTCGAATAAATGTGGAAGTTGTTTTGCGTTCTCCATGTGTATTGTTCTCTCATCAACCTTAAATGTCTATGCCGCAACATTACTTTACCAATGCAGTACGTGTCATTGCATTCTCTAATAATTAAGTCTTCTTTTTATTTAAATATTATTTACAATAGTAGATATTTGGATGTAAACAAGGCAACTTTTTTTTATCATAAAACAACGCCCGTTATATTAAAATTGAGAAACATACAAGACCATCTGCAGACAGAATTTACTGGTCCAATCGTGAACCCTAAGAGTAGACTTAAAGTTAGTCACCTCATACAAAGCAGCATAACTCGCTAACCCTGAAACAGACAAATTTAGACCTAAAACGATTGGAACCGAAACTCTGTCTATCAAAAGAACTCCAAAAATCCAAACATTCAAACCAAATCTACTTGGTCTAAAACGGAAATAATTGCTACTAAAGAGAAAATAATAATGAAATAAAATCTTTCTGCAAAGTTCTTCCTTGTATGAAGGTGGTTCCGGAGGAGGACGAGCTCTTTCAATATGGATGAATACCAACTCCATCACCGTCGAAATGGCCGACCGAGGGTTCACGATCCAGTCTCGATACAACATCCCAGCTACACCTCGTTCATCCGCCAGCGATATCACCTCCGACGTAGTTGCAATCTCAAGTGTTAGAACACTTAAAATCAATATAATCTGCCGCACGAACCTCATATTGATAGGGGCGGCAGAAAATCTCAAATCTTAGAAAGTGGGGAGACGGCCGCTAGGGTTGGCCGCTAGGGTTCATCTCTCTAGAGAGAAGAGAGATGAGATATTACTTCCTGCTCATTAATCCGACAAAGGGACTTAAATATTTAAATTATTACATGAAAATATGTGTGAAAACTGTCTCAATTTCTACCGTCACTCCCGTAACCACCTTCCTGATCACTACCGCCTCTCCGGTGATCACTGTCCCGGTTAACCAATATTAATTATAATAAGATTTTGAAATATGAAATCAAAATAATATTCAGGGAAATATGACGTGGTTAAATTTTATAGCAGTACATTTTTGCGAGCTACTCATTGCTTCAAGCAAGCATAAAATCAGATTTGAGCGGAGATAGATTCCGGGTATATTAATTTATTTGCATTCCGGTCAGACTAGTCGACTACGATACCACCCCCCTAAGAGAAAGATGAATGCCGTAGGAAGGCAGAGGTCCGCCGCGGCGACGGCTCATCATCAGCGGCAGTACTCCGACAATTTTTTAGAGACCTCATCGAATGGTAGATGGCTTCAATCAGCTGGTCTTCAACACCTTCAGAATTCAAGCAACTCTATTTCTCAATTACAGGTTTTGAATCGCTACTGCATGGTTATTTGAGTATTTTGTTTTTTTACTCTTGAGTTGTGCTTATCTATATTGCTGCAATGTTCTGGAAATGGGATTTGTGACGGCGGAGCTCAGGGTGCGAGAGTTTCTAGAGGTTCTCAGAGGAGTGGAGGAAGTGATCTTTTTCCGGAGCCATTGACGCCGCCGTCTGATCCTCGGCCTGCCAGCCAGTGGAAGAATGTGGATGAACCTAGTGAGTTCAGTCCTGGACTCTTAGATCTGTATTCAGTGGATACTGAGCTTCTTCCCGAGGTATGAATCATACACTTATGATAAAGTTGATCTTTTTCCTTCTATTTATGGTGGATTGAATTTGCATTAGTATGTTCACTGTTTTTCCCCATCTTCTAGACTCTGGTTTAGTTTACTGGTTACTGGAAGAAATACCCAAATACACCCAATTCCATAGCATTCTCCAATTTTCACTTCCCCTATCAATTACCACGTAAATATGAACATTAAAAGTACTAAAGAAAATTACTAGTCTCCCTCTGTCACCATATTGCTGTATTCCTCAGAACACTCAGATTTCACTCATTCAATTGAATGTTTGATTTTTTAGAAATATACCTGTAATGTTAAAAAAACTATACTGTTGAAGAATAACTTGTATTCGGTAGGATTTTTGTACTTGCTTTATATTTTGTATCTGTAGCTCAATGTTAAACCAAGAAACACCATCTGACTGTTAAAGTTGTTTTAATGTGGATTGATGACACACAAGTAGTTTTGACAATCCTTACTATTAAAGAAAATCATGTTTGGGATAATTAACTGGAGGAAGGGTGAATTGGGAATATGATAATATATTTACTATTTAGTAGTAAGGCTATTTTTAAAAAGGAGATTGTGGGTGTATTAAGAGGGTTCAGTATTCTAAAAATAGGTGCAAATACCACCAACCTATTCTGAATTATTCTTTCTGCTTGGCAAGTATGTGCGTGAGTGTGTTATCAGCATAGAAAAATAGCTGATTATCTTTTTTAAGATTGTTACACTGTAGTACAATTTCTCCAATTTTGATAAAGGTAGTCTCTTACTGTTCTTGTTAATTGTGTTTCAAAGATTAACAGCAGTAATGCTGTCCTCATTTATACGTAGTATGTATTTTCTACTACAAAATGGATTCTATTTTAGTTTCAACTATTTTTGTGATTGTGTTGGCATTTATAGATACCAGTTGCTGGCCAGAATGGTGGTCCTTCTGCCCGTCATTTTGCTCAAGGGAAAAGCCTTGATGACTTGGAGTCGTATTTTACAAATAATAGGCAAACCGGTAGAGTTCATGGCTTGGCAGATATTAATTTAACCAAGAGCTTTGCTGCGGAGAAAGAAAAGGCTAGCAGTGGTGCAAAGATCAAAGTAGTGGTATGTGCTGTCCAGGGAGTTCTCCTTTTATTTATCAAGCTTGCTATTTACACTTGCATGATAAGTGTTGAAGAGTGTTGGACAATCTTCTCATCTAGGGAGTTCTTTTAGGATTGAGTTAGGCCCAACATTATTTTAAATGGTATCACTCTTCTCTATTTGGGAGTTCTTTTGTAGTTTTGTTAGTCCCAACCCTTAATTTACACAATAAGCATCGAGAACAAGCCAACTTTATTCTTTTATAATATGCTGTCAAGCACTTTTTTTGAATTTGCTAGCTTTTGCTGCTATATACTACTATATTATAGTTGATACCACTTCTCGATGTAATTGCTAATCTTTTATTGATAAATGTAGGTGCGTAAGCGGCCACTCAACAAAAAGGAATTGGCAAAGAATGATGAAGATATCATTGAAACACGTAACCATGCATTAGTAGTTCATGAGACAAAACTTAAGGTTTGTGCCCTTAAAACTTAAGGAAAAGCATTGCTTGAGCTGACTTGAATGCATCATTAGAAATATGCATTTCGTTATTAGTCATTTGCATTTTTCTTGTTTCTAGTTTTTGGAGTTATATTATGTCTGCAGACATGCAGCCTTGTCATTGAGTATTTACAGATGGTTTCAAGGATTGCTTTCTTTTAGCTTATCAATTCTGCAACTTAAAGTATACATTTATGGCAGTATTGCAATTTGCAAATCTAACCTTCACACGATTTTGTCATAATGGAAGAAAGTTTTGTTTAGTTCTGACTTCTTAGATGTTATTCAATATGAAGGATACTGTACTTATCCAAAACCATTAACATTCATGTTATTTTACATTGCAACATTTCATGTTTAAGTAGCTTAGAATTTTTTTTCCCCTCTCTCAATCATCCACTCTTTCTTCTGTGTTTCCCCTTTGAATAAAATGAAATTCTAAGTTTTGTAAATACAACACAGGTTGACCTAACACAATATGTTGAGAATCACGAGTTTGTCTTCGATGCGGTGTTAAATGAGGAGGTTTCAAATGATGAGGTGATTATTAATACAAAATTATTTAATTGTATCACAAAATACTAGACTTAACTGTTCCATCATTGCTTGTTTGCTATATTATTTGTTTAGGTATACCGTGAAACTGTCGAACCAATAGTTCCAATAATTTTCCAACGCACAAAAGCCACTTGTTTTGCGTATGGGCAAACAGGTAAAGTTCCCGAACTTGTAGAAGAAAGTTGTGAATTGTTTCATTTAGTGTATGTAATTGCCAGTGTTTTTAAATTTTGGCTTAGTTGTACATTTGACTTCCTAATTATCCCAATTTGGTGATTTTGGCCTCTAGTTTTCAAACTACCAATTTTGGTCCCTCAAGTCTTCCCCCTATTACATTTTCTTTACTTTCAAGTCTTGAGGGACTGAGTTTATTGGCTTTCTTCAATCATCTTCAGGAAGCGGGAAGACATTTACAATGAAACCACTGCCATTGAAGGCATCAAGGGACATTTTGAATCTCATGCACTATACATACCGGAATCAGGGTTTCCAATTGTTTGTCAGTTTCTTTGAGATATATGGAGGGAAACTCTTTGACCTTCTTAATGATCGGAAGTAAGTGCTTTTAGAAGGAATCTGTTGTTAAATTCTTTTCGAGTCTTTTTAGATGTGCGTTTGGATATAAGTGCTTCTAAATGTAACGATAGTTAGCTTTAAGTGAAAACTATCTTATAAGCTAAAACTAAAGCCTACAAATGGTCTAAAATATTTCTTTCAGAAATTTCCATCAAAAGAATGTTGTAATTGTATTGCCTAATGTTTTAATTCTTTTAATAGAACCCCTCTTATAAAAACATTTCTTCTTGAAACCACTTTCAAGAAATATACACCCTGAAGAGTTCTTAGATATTTGCATTACATTTGCTTGCATTCATGATAATTGACCCTTCTGCAGAAAACTCTGCATGAGGGAGGATGGTAAACAGCAAGTATGTATAGTGGGACTACAGGAGTACAGAGCTTCTGATGTGGAGATGATTAAGGAGCTGATTGACAGAGGAAGTGCAACTAGAAGTACAGGCACCACTGGTGCCAATGAGGAATCATCTAGGTCACATGCTATACTTCAGCTTTCTATCAAGAAGTCAGTCGATGCAAACGAATCCAAACCAGCCCGACTTGTTGGTAAGCTCTCTTTTATAGACCTTGCTGGAAGTGAACGTGGCGCTGACACTACTGATAATGACAAACAGACCAGGTCCGTGTCTACTTATTTACCTGAGATGTATTTCAAGCTCATTCGTTTTCTTGAACATTTATTTCATCATGAGAAATTAATCATGTGTTGAAATATGTGTTTATGTCCCGCATATCATTTTTTTGGTCCTGGTAAAATAATTTTTTATAAGTCATCCCTGTAGTTTACGTGGAGAGATGAATTGAGAGGTGGGGAGAGGAAGCATGGAAGAGAGGGAGGGTACAACCTAGACAGACGTGGATTAGTGGTCAAGTTTGTTAAGACTTTACGTGCGTTAGATGAGAGCATGCCTTTGGAGAGGGCGAAGTGGAGGGAGAGTATACTTTGGAGGATTCATCTGATTTTGTTTGTCTCGTTGTCTCTATTGATTGTTTTTAACTGATATCATATGTCAGTTCATGTTAGCCAATCCCAAACTCTTTTGGGAATAAGGCTATAGGATGTTGTATCCCTGTAATTTTACGAATTTTGCTCTTTTAGTCCCTCCAATCCCTATCTTTTCCTCATCTGCTTTCCGTAAATAATCTGTGATTACTAAGGGAGTCAGGAGTCGGGACTAAGGAAAACTCGCCATTCTCGCTTTTAAAATTACGTCTCTCTAGCTCTTTGGAAATAAATTAATCCATATAAGCAACTATTTAAATGACAAGGAAAATCCAGACTACAGTTGTGTGATCTACGTCAGTTCTTTTAGCTTTTAGGTTGACAGAGAGGAATGAAAAAATATACGTAAATCACAGGGATGAATAATAGAAAATAATACCAGAGAAATCTATTACAAATATTTTATATTTACAGGGATGAAAAACATATTTAAAAACTACCTCCGTCCGACTATGTTTGGGACAAGAGGGTGTGGCACAATTTTTAAGAAAAAGTGGAATTGTGTGGTTGGTATTGAATTGATAAAGTATGAATAAAATAAGAATGAATTGTAACCACCCAAATATGGTATGGGACAAACTTAATGGGACGGACGAAATAGGTAAAACGGGACAAAGTTAGGGGGGACGGAGGGAGTACTAAATTATAGGTAGTATGACCTTAGGTCCTCCTCAAGTAAAAGAGCATTCGAGCCGATATATTAATTCATTTCTTGTTTTGTTTTCTAATCATGATATGCAGAATTGAAGGAGCAGAGATCAACAAAAGCTTGCTAGCATTGAAGGAATGCATTAGAGCGCTTGACAATGATCAAGGTCATATACCCTTTAGAGGCAGTAAGCTAACTGAAGTCCTAAGGGACTCGTTTGTTGGAAACAGTCGAACTGTAATGATATCCTGCATTTCCCCGAACTCTGGATCCTGTGAACATACTCTCAACACATTGCGATATGCAGACAGGTAATCTCTCTTTCTAGATGGTTTCGGAGTAATAATTTATTGCCTTTTTTCCCCTTCTTTTCCAGCCATTTTGACTTGAATTTGACAAAATATCTATAAACTACAGAGTGAAGAGTCTTTCGAAAGGGAACAACTCCAAGAAAGACGTGACATCTTCAACTTTGAATTTGAGGGAGTCAACCGTGTTACCTTCTGCATCAACATATGAAGATAATATGGGCAATTCATGGCCGGAACAAACAGAGAAAGATGAGTGCGAGGAGGACTTCTATGAGCAAGTCAAGCAAACATCATCAAGAAAGAATTTAAAAGTCGAGACATCCAATGTTTCTAATCCAGAAGAGAAAAAAAGGAGGGACCGTGACCAAACAAACAAGTGGAAGGAGCCACTTAGAACAGAACCTAAGGTTTGGAATGAGAATGATGATTTAAATTCACTTTTAAAGGTACGTGTAGTTTGGATTTTTAGGCTTGAAAATTGATTAATTTCAATTGCACTTTGTACAACTAACTGATTTTTGAATCCTTTTAGGAAGAGGAAGATCTCGTCAATGCTCATAGGAGACAAGTAGAAGAAACTATGGACATCGTAAGACAGGTAACCGACAATATATAAATATTGAATAATATAAAATTTTGCTGATTATATTAGTTTTAATCCTAGAAGGACGGTCCTCATACAACTTTTAGTCTTTCCACATGTGGCCCACAGCTCCAGGGTATATATCTGCTTCCTAGACCCCCTCCCCCAATAAATAAATAAATGAAATGTACGGAATATTTATCCATTATCACCATCCTCTTGTGTAGTAATATACTATCCTCCGTTCTTTTTTAGTTGCAACATTCCCTTTTTCACGCTTACCGATGCACAACTTTGACCATCATTATATTTAATTCCCTATTAGTAAAAAAAATTAAAAAACAAATTATGAAACTTTGTAATGAGACGAATTCAACAATATTTTCCAAAAAAATAATTCACATACATTGATAAATAAAATGTAGTCAAAGTAGTGTACATGAATAGTTGTGTAAATTTCAATGTTGCAACTAATATGATACGAAGGGAGTATTAGTTTTCCAATTATGTACTAATTTTCTCTAATCTCATAAAAAAGATGCTAGAATGTAAAATAACACATAGTAGTAGTAGAAGTAATAATATTGTATGCCGCTATCCTGATAGGTTTTTGTGGGTATATAATAATAATTCAGGAGATGAATCTTTTAGTGGAAGCAGATCGACCAGGAAACAAGTTAGATGATTACATAAGTGGCTTGAACTCGATCCTCTCTCAAAAGGCTGCTGCAATCTTGGAGATGCAAAACCGTTTAGCTCAATTTCAAAGACACCTGCAGGAGCATAATGTTTTGGCATCCTCAGACCACTAGAAGAAGATAACTGAGATGATGACACATTAGTTGGTAATCCAGCCAGGAGACGTGGTCTTCTTCTGAGAAGGGCTGCTGTTTTAGACTTTTAGCCCCGCATTGGGTTATTTGTGTGTGAGGTCATAGGCTCAAATCTCTCATTAAGCCCAACACCCAGAAGTGGCTTGGGCCAAGAACCAACCTTTGTGTGTATTATATGAGAAAACAAATAGTGCATAGTTGCATACCTTATTGGCCACAAAATCAAAGAAAGATTAATGTGTTTTTTTACTATGATTTAGTAACTAATATATGCTTGAGAGTAGTGTCTAACAATATTCAATGCCTTAATGGTGCTGCAGTCCTCCAACCTCGTGGTTTAAGGCCACTGCTCATATCTGGGTCATTGTTACAGAAAAGGATGGTTTTCAGTGGATTGTTCCCTGCATGTCTAGGGTTTTATTTTTTCAACAGCCAAAGCCACTGCTCGTTCCATGGTTGATCCGGAAAAAATATTTTGAAAGAATCTGTCGCGACTAACATTAATGGCTCTCTCCTTATGATATTGATTGCACAAGGCATGAATCCACCACTTTTCATAGTTATCAATAGTCAGCCTCCAGGCGATAGCTCTTGAATGTAATTGCTTAGAGTTGGACTCAGGCTGGGTCGGGGCCGGGCCGGGGCTGGCCCGGCCGGGCCGCCGGTTCTGAATAGATGGGCCCGGGACCGGTCCGGGTACCCACCGGTAGGGGTGGACTCGGGTTGGGCCAACCGGCCCGGAACCGGACCGGCCCACTACTGTGCGGGCCCAGACCGGCCCGGTGAACCGGTTGGTTGGCCGGTTCGGGCCACCCGGCCCGGTGGGATGTCGGTTCGAGCTCGGGCCCTTCAAAAGGTGAACCGGCCTGGCCTGTTCGGGCCCGGGCTGGGCCAATTTTGTTTTTGAGTTTTTTTTAAGTTTTTGGGTTGGCTTGGGTATTTTGGGCCATTTGAGGTGGTTAGGGTTGGTTTGGGGGTGAGGGGGAGGGTTGGGGGTTAAATAGGAAAAGCCAAAAAAAAAAAAATAGAATCGAGGCCCGGCCTGGACCCGGGGGTTACCCGGGGCGGTTCCGGGCCTCCCCTTCATGAACCGAGGCCCGGCTGGGCCCAGGCCCGAACCGGAACCGTTCCATCCCTACCCACCGGGTCGGGTCGGGCCGGACAGTACCGGTCCCGGGCCGGTTCCGGGTCGGGCCACCCGGCCCGAGTCCACCACTAGTTATCATACTCCTAATTTCTTCTATAAAAGCAATTAGGAGACTAGGAGAGGTGGCACGAAATGGATAAAATATTGAGCTATGAATTTAGATTATATTTTAGTTAGTTGTTTCTTGTTTCACCATAGTTTATGTTATTTTATTGTCTTGTTCCCATTAGGGTCATTAGTTGATACAACTTAATATACGGTGGCTTGTTTGCTAAAACAATATTCATTCTTGAGTGGTATTTACGTAGTATTTGATAATTGATATGCTCTTATATGAGCGATTCATTTCTGTGCCTGGTCGGGTGGTGCAAGAGCAGTTTGACTTACTCCAGTCATTGAAAGTAGGCATGGACCTAAGTCAATTCAATTTTCGGTTTCAAGTGGGGGAAGATGAACCGGAATCTAATCCTCGAAAATGGGTTACAGTTTCAACTCTAAATCACTTCCAGGTCCTTGGGCTATTTTAAAAATAAAGAACCAAGTATTGGTCCTGTTTTTAAGAGACTTGGAACTGGAACTGGAACATGTTGAAACCAGTTTCAGTCCAGAAAAAGAAATCATATCAACAGGTCTGACTATTTATTTGCTGAGTTTCAACACTAGTCAGGATCCACATCTAATCGTAAGAGACAAGTTGGTTGAATCTCTGTAGAGTGGGTTCTGCAGTTCTACTTGCATATAAGGGCGGACAGTGTCTGATTTTGAACTAATTCAGGACTTCCAAAAGCAGTAATTTTATGCGGTAGTATAGTAGACTACTAGATCAGGCTTTTAACCAATTAAAATTGATGGTTATGGAACAGACTTTGCTTGTCTACAGAAACATAAATCCTAATTGAAAGCTAGAAATATAATAAAAGTGAGCAAAAATAAAGAAAAAGTCAAAGGGGTCCATCATACGAAAACTGGAGTGATCTTACATTCTTAAAGTCACAACTTTATGACTAGTAATTCATAGAACTACTACAACAGTGCCTCAAGAAAATGCAAAAATTCAAGATTCAAAGTGGGTTTTCCAGAATCATCTCAAGTAAAGGACATTAGGGCACTTGTAGATTTTGGTGTGAGCCAAAATGACATCATTACGAAGTGTACAGTGCACCTTGAACAACAGAAAATAAGTCGATAAACGACCCTAGAGTTGTTTAATTGCGTTGCAGAAGTTTACAAGAATCCATTTCACTTAAATTTGAAGATCTTTTAGAAACACCTTCCTGGTGTAGGGATGGCAATGAGTCTGGTGGGATATGGTCCATCAACCCATCCATCCATCCATCAACCTTTTCCACACTAAATTACTCAGGATTTTATCCATATTTTAGGGTTGAATAAATCAACTATCCAACAACATCGAAATTTTGTTATTGAAACAAACCATCAATATGGAAATACACACACTGAGAAAACCAATATTACAAACAAAACAAGTCATTATCAGACTTTTTCCTTAAAACATCTTGAAACACTCAAACACATACTAAAGGTGATGCGACTCACATTCTAAATATTACCAAGGAAATCTCTCTTTACCCAAAGAGTTCACCCCTTAAGGTTGTACATATTATAACAATATGTAGTATTCAAGCTGGAATTTGACAATCCAACCTAACACCACTAGTATAATAAAACATAAAAGACCCTGAGAAGGCAACACTACTGAGAAAAATCTCAGCTTCAATGGTTAATACTGAATGAGAAAAAAGATCTGGTGCACACTACCATTCACGTCTACTATATAACAGAAACAGATTAACAGATCATATGATCAAGCAAAACTAATGAAGGGGCTTCCGACATAAAAATCTATACATCATTGGTCCAAAACACACATTATGAACACAAGAGATTGAAGCAATTGAAATGCTAAATAGGGGTTTTCATTCATTAATCAGCAATCAACTCAGAAATCAAGTCTTTGAAGTAGCTTGGGAATAATTAGATTCACCAAAATTTAAATTGTTCTAATACTTCAAAATAACAAAACGAAATTATACAATATAACCTACCCTCACAAAATTCCAACTCAAAAGACTTTTGATCTCTCAAGAGGACAATGCTGCACCCTTGTTCCTTGGAGCTGCTTGAGTACCTAATACATTATAATAATTTTAAATCCATCAGCAAAATAAATAGAAAGTGGAATTCTGGAATTCAAATTAAGATGATTATCAAACACACCTTCTCTGAAGTTGCTCTTGAAACGGCGGGGAACATTACGGAGATACCTCATGCGGCCAGTTCCGGTGGTCTTTCTACGGATCGCCTTCGCACTCCAATTGTCTAAAGCATACATTTAAAGAAGATATCAGATTTAATGAACGATTTTACCACCGATTAATGAAATAATTGAACAAAAATCTGCAAGACAGCCATATTAATAGAAACGTATAGGAAGACTTACACTTTCTCGTGCGGGCAGCAGGGTAAGCACAGGCGGAGCATCGGCTCTTCTGCAGATGGAAGCTCCGGCGGCCACACCTCACGCAGAGAGTGTGAGTCTTGTTCCTCCTCTTCCCGAAACTCCCTGTTCCCTTCCCCTGTACATTTCATCATCATAAGACAGTCAGATCCGATCCTATACGTAATCAAAACATTAGCAATGTTAATGCAGAGAAGAGGTTTACCATTGCTTCCTGGATGCAGAAACCTAGCTTTCCAGTAGGGTTATATATTCCGAGGGTTCGTAATAATGCTTTGTAAATTGCAGGCGGATTTTGGTCCCCTACTATTTGACAATTTTGTTATTCTACTTCTAATTTTTTCATTTTTAGTCCTCGACTATTGTGCTAGAAACAAATTTAGTCCTAATTTCAAGTTTCTCACATTTAATCCTTGAGTATTGTTGAATTGACACTTTTAGTTCTCTCATTATGATTTTGATACAATAAGTGAAGGGCTAAAAATGTCCCTATTATAATAGTTGAAGGACTAAAAGTGTCATTTTATGAAAGTTGAAGGACTAAATATGAAAGTTTTCAAAGACGGGTACCAAAAGTGTCTTTAGTACAATAGTCAAGGATTATTAGTCAATGACATAATAGTCGAAGGACTAAAAGAAGAAAAACTCATTGCGGGAGCTTTGCTGGTTGGTTCTTTGTGAGGCCTGAATTGGACTCATGAGTTTTAAATTTTAAGTAACTATTATTATTATTATTATAAAATAATGTAAAACAATAATAATATACTCCGTAGTAATAATATAATACAAAGTAATAATAAGAATAGGGGTGGACAGGGATGGGACAGTCCGACCCGATATCCGGCCCGACCCAGTACTAATTGATATTGAAATTACGGAGTATAAATTATCAAACATACTATATGTACAATATTTTATCTCCTGAATTGATATACGTATTTACCAAGTCTTTTTTTAACGTATTTGCCGAGTCTATTTAACATTTTTCATTGATAATTTTGGCAGCATAAAAGTTGTAATAATAATACTAAACGGATATGCAATGCCACCACTTTTTTTAGTTTTTATTTACACTTCTATATACTTAACTTTTGTATTAGATAGGAGTGTTAATAAAACATATGTCCTTAATAAATGAGTCTTTTAAATTTGATTACAATTTTTAGGTTTTAATTATCACAATTATATGCACAATCTTTTGGATTTTCCAATTCAAAACATAGTTGCCATCCACCAAATTATTCTAATTGAAAAGTATAGCAAAATATGTACATATGCTACAGATAAATCTGTAGAGTCACATCTTAAAGAGATGGAATGAACTTTTTGGAGTCATACTACCAAAACAAAATGAGCAATTGTAAACGTATGCAAGATGTAATTAGGGGCATGTAGTGTTTGCTACTCTGATATGGTAATTCAAATATGTCTATCAACGTCGCAATCTACATGGCACGGGAAAAATGTATGTCTCACTAAAAACATACATGTAATTTGAAGAAGGGAAATTTTATGGAGTCCTATACAATGTGTGGTGTCATCACAATCATTCATTTCTTAAACTAATTAAGCTCTCCACTTAATATTGACTTTAAAAATGAATGACTATTAGGATACTGTGTAGGCTATACGACTCCAGGCATAGTGAAGTCATATAGGGTTCCATTAATTTTTCACTTTAAAGACATGTGTACTCATAGATCTTAGGTATCAGAGACACATATTTTACAGAGATTATGAGCTAAAAAGAAGAATATTGCATGTTAAAATCATGTGGGAATGTTAAAGTAGGATTTACAATGCATTCTCTATGTATACAAAGAGAATCAATAGGCTAACATAATGTCATATGCCGAAATATAAATTTACGGGTTAGCCTCAATATTGAATATATGGTCCCGACATCTATATAATATAATAAAGCAAACCCTAGAGACCTCGCTCGAGAAATTGTTGACATGTGACAACATTCTTTATTAGAAAATTTGACATGTGTCAACAATATACGGAGTAACAAATTCTACTCCCCGTTCATATATAGCATTATCTAAAGTGTTGTATCGTAGGCCCAGTTTAATTGGACTCATGAGTTTTAAATTTTAGGTAACTATTATTATTATAATAAAATAATGTAAAACAATAATAATATACTCTGTAGTAATAATACAGAGTAATAATAGGAATAAGGGTGGACTGGGATGGGACAGTCCGACCCGATATCTGGCCCGACCCAGTACTAATTGATATTGAAATTACGTAGTATAAATTATCAAACATACTATATGTACAATATTTTATCTTCTGAATTGATATACGTATTTACCGAGTCTTTTTTTATACGTATTTGCCGAGTCTATTTAACATTTTTCATTGATAATTTTAGCAGCATAAAAGTTGTAATAATAATACTAAACGGATATGCAATGCCACCACTTTTTTAGTTTTTATTTAAACTTCAATATACTTAATTTTTGTATTATATAGGAGTGTTAATAAAACTTCATGTCCGTAATAAATGAGACTTTTAAATTTGATTACAGTTTTTAGGTTTTAATTATCACAATTATATGCACAATCTTTTGGATTTTCCAATTCAAAGCATAGTTGCCATCCACCAAATTATTCTAATTGAAAAGTATAGCAAAATATGTACATATGCTACGGATAAAATCTGTAGAGTCACATCTTAAGGAGATGGAATGGGCTTTTTGGAGTCATACTACCTAAACAAAATGAGCAATTGTAAACGTATGCAAGATGTAAATAGGGGCATGTAGTGTTTGCTACTCTGATATGGTAATCCAAATATGCCTATCAACGTGGCAATCTACATGGCACGGGAAAAATGTATCTCTCACTAAAAACATACATGTAATTTGAAGAAGGGAAATTTTATGGAGTCCTATACGATGTGTGGTGTCATCACAATCATTCATTTCTTAAACTAATTAAGCTCTCCACTTAATATTGACTTTAAAAATGAATGACTATTAGGATACTGTGTAGGCTATACGACTCCAGGCATAGTGAAGTCATATAGGGTTCCATAAATTTTTCACTTTAAAGACATGTGTACTCATAGATCTTAGGTATTAGAGACACATATTTTAAAGAGATTATGAGCTAAAAAGATGAATATTGCATGTTAAAATCATGTGGGAATGTTAAAGTAGGATTTACAATGCATTCTCTATGTATACAAAGAGAATCACTAGGTTAACATAATGTCATATGCCGAAACATAAATTTACGGGCTAGGCTCAATACTGAATATATGGTCCCGGCATCTATATAATATAATAAAGCAAACCTAGAGACATCTCTCGAGAAATTGTTGACATGTGACAACAGTCTTTATTAGAAAATTTGACACGTGTCAACAATATACGGAGTAACAAATTCTACTCCCTCTTCATATATAGCATTATCTAAAGTGCACAACAATACAACATAGGGGTTTACCATTGCTTCGTGGATGCAGAAACCATAGCTTCCAGACAAGACTCCAAGGGGTTATATATTCCTAGGGCTCGTAGTGCTTTGTAAATTGTGATGGCTTTGCTGGTTGGTTCTTTATGAGGCCTGCTATTTTATTCTTGCTTGATTGGAGCTTGGTTGTTGTATCGTAGGCCCAGTTTAATTGGACTCGTGAGTTTTAAATTTTAAGTAACTATTATTATTATTATTTTAAAATAATGTAAAACAAAATAATATAGTAGTAATAATACGGAGTAATAATAAGAATAGGGGTGGACTGGGACGGCACGACCCGATACCCGGCCCGACCCAACACCAATTGATATTGAAATGTACGGAGTATAAGTTATTAAACATAATTCTATGTACAATATTTTATCTCTTGAATTCATATACGTATTTACCGAGTCTTTTTTACGTTGTTGCCGTGAGTCTATTTAACATTTTTCATTGATAATGTTAGCAGCATAAAAGTTGAAACAATAATACTAAATGGATATGCAATGCCACCACTTTTTTAAGTTTTTATTTAAACTTCAATATGCTTAATTTTTATACTCCGTATTAAATAGGAGTATTAATAAAACATCATGTCCGTAATAAATGAGACTTTTAAATTTGATTACAATTTTTTAGGTTTTAATTATGACAATTATATGCACAATCTTTTCGATTTTCCAATTCAAAACATAGTTCCCATCCACCAATTATTCTAATTGAAAAGTATAGCAAAATACTCCGTATGCACATATGCTATAGATAAAATCTCTAGAGTCACATCTTAAAGAGATGGAATGAGCTTTTTGGAGTCATACTACCAAAATAGCGGCATGTAGTGTTTGCTACTCTTATATGGTAATCCAAATATGCCTATCAACGTGGCAATCTACATGGCACGGGAAAATGAATCTCTCACTAAAAACATACATGTAATTTGAAGAAGGGAAATTTTATGGAGTCCTATACAATGTGTGGTGTCATCACAATCATTCATTTCTTAAAGTAATTAAGCTCTCCACTTAATATTGACTTTAAAAATGAATGACTATTAGGATACTGCGTAGGCTATACGACTTCAGGCATAGTAAAGTCATATAGGGTTCCATAAATTTTTCACTTTATAGACATGTGTACTCATAGATCTTAGGGATCAGAGACACATATTTTAAACAAATTATGAGCTAAAAAGAAGAATATTGCATGTTATAATCATGTGGGAATGTTAAAGTAGGATTTACAATGCATTCTCTATGTACACAAAGAGAATCAATAGGCTAACATAATGTCATATGCTGAAACATAAATTTACGGGTTAGGCTCAATATTGAATATATGGTCCCGACATCTATATAATATAATAAATCAAATCATAGAAAACTCTTTGGAGAAATTGTTGACATGTGACAATACTCTTTATTAAAAAATTTGGCATGTGTCAACACTAAAGCAAATTCTACTCACCATTCATATACAGTATTATCTAAAGTGCACAAAATACAACATAGACACACACATGTATATACAACATTTATAAGCATTTGAAAGGGTAGAAGAAAATCTATTCAACTTCTAACTGTTTATAAATAGACGGTCACTATCATTAATTCATTATCTTTACATTGCTTACAACTATTATGTGAA